AGGAACATAAAAAATCCCAACATGAATGACAACTGAAGAGCAGCCATCTGTGTGGGCGTCTCTCTTTCCAAACAAAACTTGGAGTGAAAAGGGTTTTCCAATGAGCCAGCCAAGAAAAGGGAAACTTCATCAAGAATCACAGTGGGATCTGCCTGGAGAGTATGCTGCATGCAAGTAGCAGGGCTAAAACCACTCCCCCTGCCACTACCAGCAGTCCTCCCAGATGTCCATCTGTCCACTGTTCCTTATTTTCCCTTTTCAAAACCGTGGTGAAAGCTGCTGGGGAGGACACGACGTGTGACAAGTAATTACAGAGCAAAGCAGAGCAGAGGCACCTTTGGGGATAAGCAGCAGTTCAGGCAGTCACCAAATGCTGACCCTCCATGAGGGCTGCATGAGGTCTCTGCTTGTGAAACCAAACTGAGGACCCTGGCACAGCTCTGCTGGGAGGGCTGGGTAAGCACCAACTGTGGAATGCCCACAGAACTGCTCACCTGCACCAAAGAGAGGTTTTTAAAACAGCAATCTGGAATCAGCTCCGTTCTTTGCTGCAGGAAACCCAGAGACTGCTGGGGTTCCCACTGCTGCACCCTCCCATGCAGATGTGGGCTCCAGCACTCAGCCACAGACATGGCAGCTCCTCACCTGCCCCAGGACCTGAGGCTGCCAGCCAAGTTCAGCTCTCAGCCTGCTTAAAACTCAGCACATTTGCAAGGCCCAGGGTCAAGCTAGAGCAGATGGAATGCTCAATTAGGCTGCTCAGCCTCTATCCAAGCCCTTCCAGAGCAGCTCCTGTTACACCACTGGAGACAGGGTATTGATTCAGACATTAGCAGTTTACATGAACCTTTGGGCCAACCCAGGACAGTGATTTTCAGTGTCTTTGCCAGCAGATTACAACATATGCCCACATACTTCAAGCATAGTTCAATGATATCAGCAAAAATTCACTGATAGAAAAAATATTTTCCTATCAGAGTACAGAAAACTCGAGGTGGACATCTCCTCCTCCACAAACTCACCCGTCTGGAGCGAACCCTTCCTGAGCATCAGAAAGAAAGCTGACCCAGGGGTGCCCTGAGATTCCTGCTAATTTTCTAGCAAGCCACTCTAAGAGGAATTTGAGCTGAATATTGACATGCTTAAGGCCATTTAAAACAGAGACTGGCTTTCCTAACATATCAGTGTTTTTCCAGCCTCGGAGAACAAGAGACAGAGAGGAAGAGAATTGCTTTTGGGGAGAAAGCACTAATAAGATAGGAATTTCCCTGAAATAATTAGCAATGTAAGGAAAAACCACAAAACCCAACCACCCACCAACTTTCCCTAAGGAACAGCTTCAAACCTATGAAGTCTCTACATCCACAGGCCGCCAGGTGTATGGCAAGCATGGGGCCTGCTTCTGCATAAACACTGGGGCACAGGAGAGCATCTGCATCCCAGATGGACAGGGGATTTGCAAATAGGTTTGCAACTAGGAAGTCCCCAGGGAACTAGGGAAAATTGAATAGCTAAAACAATCCTGATCTGCCAGCTAATACAGATGGTTTTTAACAGAAAGATAACAACAGGCCTTAGGAAGACATAAGCCCTCTCCCCCATGGAGAGAAGAGTGTAATTTTGGCACTTACTTTTTCCTAGTCTTCTCAGGAAGCTTGGCAGGAAATGGTAGAGACTTCCTCCACTGCATAAATTCTTTTATCAGGCTAAATTAGATTAATTCCTTCAGGAAGATTACTGCTCTAGGCAGATGATGAGTGCTCCTACCTTGATTCTCATGGTGCTTCTACCCCAATGACTGAAACAGCACTTAAAAATTTTTTTTCATCCCCAATCCTTTCACAAAGACCTGCAGGTCTGTTAGCTGCAAGAAACATATACCCACTTGTTCCAAATGTAGAATACACCTAAATTCTTAGTATTACTTCCTCTCTTTTTTTTCTGGTTTCCAAACACTCAGAAAAAAATTGGAAGTCTTTCTCCTTGTTTTCTTAATGTAACCATGACAAAGTTGCTATGCAATTGTCTGTTGGGGAATTGGGGCAGGAAGAAAAAGAAAGATAAAGCAAACTGCTGGAGTTAACCTGCAGCAGGAAACAAATAATTTACAGGCTCACATATGGAATCAACTCTCATTTTTTCAGAGGAGCAAGTACCAAAGGCTTTGCACAGTCATTGACTCTCTGGGGTCATTCTCTGATGTCTGGTGCTTGCAGCACTACCAGCTAATGGTAACAAAGATTACTCTGTAAAAGGAGTGGTGGAAATGTCTGAGGAGATGCAAGACCAAGAAGAAAATAGCCCTTCACCCCTGAAAGGTTGCTGCTCATGTGAGAAACCAGTACAAGACCCAGAGTAGTTAGAAGCAGTTGGTGAAAGCAATGAGGCATGTGAAGACAGTTTGTCCCTGGAGCAGCAGCTGGGGAAGAGAGGAGAGGACAGCTGCAGCACTGCCCCAGGACATCCCATGTGCCACCCTATTCATTTCAGGGTATCTGACAAGGGCACTCAAACATGGCCATGATACATTCCCCATCATCAAAAAGCTCAGCCCTCTGTGAGCCTCCATTGGCCCCAAACGGGGCTGCAACAGGACAGTGCAAGGCTCTGCAGGGACAGAACTTCTCCCATGGATGCTGTGGATAAGGTGACTTTGCTAATTCCCTGCTCAGGGTCAGGTCAAAAGGTTGGCTCATTGACCACCTGCCCCTGAGCAGCACTCCCCACCCACTGCTGGTTAACCTCTGTGGCAGCCATCAAAAGGAAAAGCAAGAGCAACCCAGACCGAGTTATCCATTGCAGCAACACAACACTGCTCTCAACTTGCATTACCCAGCCCCTATGCTCTCACAGCAGTGTCCTAAGCTGTTTTTAAAGTCAGCATTTAGCTTTTTTGCTGGCTAATATAACATTTCCTCTCCCTTCCCCCAGTCCAAGGATTTGGCAAAATTGCTTCTTTTGCAAATCCCACTGCAAACGCTGAACTTTTGCCAGTTAGACAGGGAAAATCTTGACTAAAAATAAACCATGTTTCAGAAAATAGACCTCCTTCCAGTACAATGAAGTAGTGGATAATGCATGCAAGCAGATCTGCCAGGAGAACACAGCCTCCAGATTTGCATAAGAATCTCAAGCTCAATAGACAGCTGCAACTCCTGTGATTTATCCCATCTTAACAAAGAACAAGGGAGGGGGGGTGTCTGGTGAAAGGAGTGAGGTAAGGTTGAGGATGCTGAGATAAATCAACTTTCCACCTGTGGGGGCAGGAAGAGAAGTGCCACCATCACCACGTGCCTGCATCCCCAGTGAACCAAGCTGGTCATAACCCATTTGGGAGGGAGAGGATGGCATTCCCTGCACAGTCACTACAGAAGGCGAGAGTTTGTTACAGGAAATCCACTGCAATTCAGGCACGAGAAGAGAATGATCTGGGATTTTGCCACCTGAGTCACCAGGAGTCTGGGACACTGACTCAGTGCTGGCTCTCCTGACTCAGACACACCTGCAGCAGCTTGCTAGCAAACAGAGGCACTCCTACCTTTGCTGTTCCCCTTCTTATTGTGGTTTTCCCTCTAAGAAGAGGCCTTTTACAGCAGAAAATTAACTAAGAAAAGGAAAGCATAAGGAGAAGACTGGCCTGGGAAGCACAGGCAGTGCTCAACTAAGCAGCTGTGCTTTCAGATCCAAAGAGGGCACATTTGCTTGCTTGCTGTGATAAATCCCAGAAAATACAGGAGAATTAGGTGGAAACAGCTCCACCCTGACTCTTACTCCTCTACACGTCTGCAGCACCACCCAGACAGTCCTGGATGAACCAGGTTTTCAAGAAAGATATCTCTCCATAATGAATCCATTTCACTTTTTTAGGGATCAAGAAAGCATTATGCAGCAAGTTGTGATTATATCCTTACACAATCAAATGGGCCATTCAGGCAAGCTAAATGCAAGGCAATGCCATTTTTATGAGATCCACGAGGGACAGATGTTTGCAGAAGGAGCTGCTTCTGCTCCTAGGGCAAGCTGAAGGTTTCAGTTCAGTGTGCCAGGCCAACCCTCCTTGCCCATTAACACTCCCACAGCAGGATCATGCACCTGCTTTTCAGACCTCCCCTGAGCAACCACAGATGGCTGAATATTCCACTCCAGTTCCAGTTGCACAAACACCTGATCAGCTGTGAACACAATTCCAGACATACAACAATAGACTGCAACCCAGTCCTATATTTTTCCCTCCTCAAAGTAATCCAGAAAATGAAATTGAGATGCAAGCAGATCTGCTTGTAGCACAGCAAAGGGCATCACTGAAAGCATGTTTGGCATCTCAGGGACTTCAACTGACTTAGGCAATGCACTTAGAATGCCAAACAGCTGCAAAGAGCGCAGATTAGATTTTTCATTTGAGCACTGATGCCTTAAAGCAATAACAAACCAAATAACTCAGGCAAAAGGATGCACAGGGCAGCGCAGGGGAGGCACTACTCCACTGCTCCTGAGAGCAATCGGTGGCAGAGCAGAGCAGTAATTATCCAGGGAGGAATAAGCTGCTACAGGCTGTTCTTGCCATCCATTAAGAAAACAACAGCAGATTTGTTCACGGTTGGATACCGAGAGGCACACAGCTCCCTCCCTCCCCGCGGGGGAGCTGCCAGAGGGCGGCTGAGCAGGAGGCGCAGCAGCCCCCGAGCCCAGCCGGGATTCCCCAGCTGGAGCTCCGGGAAGGAAAAGGGAGTGCCCGTGCTAGCAGGGAGCACGGCCTCCCACGGGCTGCTCTGCAGCAATGCTGCTTTCCAGCCCTCTCCTCAGAGGGCTGTCAGCAAGGCGAAATGCAAACCTCATCTTCTGCCTGCGTTTTCACAAAACCTCTGGATAGAAAAGTCAACTATTCACTGCAGAGCAGTCTGCACCACAGGATCCATTCCACACCCGTCAGGCCTGGCCACACATTTCACCCTGGCCATATGCAGCCCCTCTTTCCCTCACCAGGAACGTGACAAACATACCTGCTCAGGGCATCAGCTTCTCCTCTAGCACTGTCAAGGAGCCAGAACACGATTCCCATGGGCATACAGGAACTGGCAAATCCTGTAAGCATTAGAGAGAATAGCAATTAGTGCCATTAATGAGCTGCCTGGTGAAAAGGAAGGATGCCAAAGCAATCTCGCGAGAATCAGGAAGGTGTTAGGTCCCTGCCCTGAACACACTCCTGCCAGCCCTGGCATCGTGGCAGAGGTACATGGCATGAGGCTGTCAGGGGACTTCTCCAAATCACAGAAGGAAGCCAAAGCAAAAGACAAGATGATGAGTCCCAAACCAAGGCTGTTCATCCAGTAAAGCCTCCTCAACAGCCAGTGCAATGAAGATAACATCTACATGCAGGGGCAGAAAAGAGGCTGGCAAATGGGATGGAAGGGATCACCTACAGTGCCCCTGCTGTGCTCCCTGAGATGCTGCTGAAGATCTGCTTCACAGCACCTGGGCAATTTCTTCTAGTTTGCAGAGGAGGCAAATCCCACATGACAGAGCCAGACCACTTCCATTTCTTCATCATCATCATTGATTCATCATTATAGTTTCATAATAAAAAAGGCTTTATATTTTCCACTGATGGCTGTATAAAGCTTTTGTACCTCAGTCACACAGAAGACATTTAACCAGCACTGAGCAAGAGCAGTGACAAAAGTCACCTCTGCAGGCTACAAAAACACCTCACTTCAGGCATGTGAAGGGCCTGCTGCATGCCAAAGGAAAGATAGCAGAAATGTTTTACAGGAAACAATTCTAAGCAGCCACAAGGAGAAGTTTTTCTGATAATACTACTGAAGCAAAGGTCACCACATCTAATGTAATTTTACTTTTCCCATCCTGTTCGTGCAATGGTTCAGGGATAGCAAGGAACATGGTGGATGAGGGACCATCCTCAGACACACTGTAACACAGAGAGCATCTGGAAGCTGAGGGAGGTAAGGAAATAGTGAGACATCTCTAGTCAAAACACTAAACCAGCAAGAGGAAGGTGCAGAATCAGCCTGACAATGTCTCATGTGCTTCCTGCCAACTGGACCTCATTATGTACTGTGAGAAAACTTACTCATGCAGCACATCAGTTTACCTTGGACTGAGGAGGAGAGACTTGCTTGCTTTCCCCAGTCTCTGCAGGTGATTCAGAAAACTGTCATTGCCAACTGGTATTCAAAGAACTGAGAAAAGTCTAATCCATTTGTGGCTCCCTCTCACTCATTTTCCCCTTTCTCCTTTCCTATTAAGGAAGGGCTGAAGGCATTTCTAAGTATGAAAAAAATGCTGAAGTCCACAAGACCACAGCACAAACCTTGGACTCCAGCCTCAATCACAAATTTTCCATCACCCTGTTGCTCTACATTAACCAAAACACAGGAGTTACTTACTTCTGTTATGTACCTCCAGGAGGGTCTTTTGCTGGTTTTTTTTGAAGCCAGTAAATGAACACTATTCAGCAGCTCTACAAGGACAGAAGTAACAGGACAAATCCAACCTGGCCAATAATCTTCAGTGGTAGCTTACGTATCGAGGTATGGAAAGAAAGGAAATTCATACCTTAACTTCACATGGCTTAAATCTGAAGGGGGGCTGCCTTACCTTCATAGGACTTCATCTGCACTGGTGCTGACCCATGCCTGCACCAGGGCTCAGCACATGGGGAGTATCAACACGGCAGCCATACAGACAACCTTTTCTCCCTCCCTCCTCCAGTTCCTTTTCCATTTAACAACTTTCCCAACTCAACTCCTACTCCTAAAAAACGCTGCAGAAACATCACTGGCAAAGTTCTAAGTCCTCACTTCCCAATACTGCCGAGCAAGGCAAAAAGAGATGCCTGAAGCTTTCTTAAGTGCTGCTGGATTTAATCAAAGCCATATGAAGATGGCCTGCTTGCCCTCCCAAAGCAACTGCAGCTCTCAGAAAAAGCACGTTGTCCCACAACAGACAGATATACTGGAAACACAGCGGAGTGCCAGGGAATCAGAGTGCTCAGCCTCTCCCTTGGTTCCCAAACTTCCTTCTCCCAGTGCCCAGCAGTCACTTGTCCTAGGGCTGCTCCTCCCCAAGACACCACCAGGCTCCAGGCAATGCAGAGCACGGATGACACATGACAGCTGAGCTCCTCTGCCGCTTTCCTGCAACTCCAACTTGTCCATCAAAATATGTATTTCTCAGTGCCACCACCCTAGCAGGCCCTCTGTGGCCTTGGCCACGATGACTCCTTGCTTGTTGCAGATTGAGGTAGTGCTGCAGAAACACAATAACCTTTTGTTTCATCTAAAGCAGCACACAAAGATTCACCAGAGTTTATAAAAAGGTTATAAACTTTTTATAGGCAGCAGAGGACTGAGTGATACTGGGTGACTACAAAGATGGGGCATCCACAACTTTTGGGAGCAACCTGTTCCAGTGCCTCACCACCCTCATCACAGAAAACTTCTCCCTTATATTCAATATAATATTCTCCTTGATACATTCAGCAGGAAGCTTTATTTAAAAGCTCAAAGTCCTCCCAGAGGGAAACCTCCCCTGGGTTAAGCAGGAAGCCAAACCCTGGCAGCATGTACACAAAGCCGTCAGTCAGCAGTGCCCCACAAAGGACTCCTCCAACACTGTAGCCTCCCAGAAATATTAATGCACTTAGCAATTCTTGCCACCCTCTTACACGGAAGGAAACTGGAGTAGAAGCAGGACATGTTCTACCAGGGGCTACACAGCTGCTCTTCAGCAAGCCATGCCCACTCCCACATGCTTATCAGCTCAACTGATCCAAAACTACCCTCTGCTGCCACAACAGGCAGTCCTGCCTTTTCTCTTCCACCACTTCTACACACCTCTACAATAGAGGTAGCAACCATCATTTGCTTGATTCAACTGGAAGCCATCTCAGAAATAAGAAAATAAAGGGGAAGAATTTCTGGCAGGAGAAGAGCCTGAGATCAGCTAAAGCTGATGAAAAGCATGACCTCAGAAAGGCACAGTGGTACATGTGGAAACCAAGATGAGGCTTCAACCTGTCATATATTTGTGTTTGCACAGGGGTAAGTAATGAAAAGTCAGTTTAACAGCTCCATTCACTACTGAGCATGCTCTGTCACTCACTGTTGTAAAGACCCATCCAAAACAGCACAGTGATTTGCCCTCTGAGGTCTCCAAACCAGGCTGATGCACCCAAACAGCAACACACCACGGCTGTGCAAGCCTTGCAGCTTACCAAGGCACCGCAGTAAAATAAAATTCCTCCAGGAGGATTGGGAATTTTTTTGTGGGGGAGAGGAGGGGGGTATTTTGTCACAGCTGAAGGGTGTTCTCAAATGGTTTCAAGGAGCAGAGGAGCAAGGACAAGCATATGCAAAGGATCTAGCAAAAGCTCTTAAGCAAAGCAGACAGCAGGAAGCTGAAAATAAATACGCAAAGCCCTTTGCAGCACCAAAGTTCAAATCCATCTGGATAGCTCTAAGGCTGTCACGGCAGCCCACAGAGGGCATTTTCCAATTCCTTGCACAGAAACCCTGGAAAATAACGATGGAAAAGTAGAAGCACAGGCTTGAACTCTAAGCCAGACCTCCATCCCAACACGTGACCAACTTCAACAGCACCAGAGTGCAGGGGGAGGAGAACACAGCCCTGCATGGTCCCCACAGGCTGCCTTGTCCCCAGCACCGGGACGCCTGAGCGCCCTCAGCCCCCACCGTGCGTCTCCTCTGGCACAGGTGTGGATGGAGGGGTTACAGCAGACACAGGTGCAGCTCAGGGTACCTATCAGAGGGGCTGCCAGCACCAGCCTTCACATGCCAGCCAGTCTCCTCACCTCCAGCACCAGCAAGAGGCACAGTCCCCAGCTAAAAAGTACAAGCTGCAAAGCTGCACTGAGTGGAGGGAGCCAATCCATCAGCTTGCCCAGAGGTCCCATCCGAGCATCCCAGCAGCAGTCTGACAGAGCTCCCCAGCACTAGCTCCTTACAGAGGGGGAGGAGGTAGAGTAATCCTGCCTTGTTTTTCTGAGTTACACAACATTAGTCACACAGGCTTCTGCCCCAGGGCCCCCAGGCAAGCCTTGCCTTCCACGGTTGCTGTGTGCTCCCCCTTATACTACCAACTCTCGACAGGAACAGACAAGCACAGTTCAAAAACTCACATTCGAGCCTCCTTTACATGCCTTTCACAGAAATACCCAGAGCTGCCCCTCCACTTAACACAGTTCTATTCTTTCCCCCCACCAGAAAAAGCACCCAGTTACTCAAATTGAATTTCCATGGCATTAAAATCAATTAAGCAGCTACACATCTCCAACTGACCCATTCCCAGTTTTTCTGATAACTGTTACCACAGACCACATGCACACCCCCAAAATATCCCAAAGCATCCTTAAGAAAATCACGGACTTTGTAATAAAGCTCAAGCTTTCACCTCGCAGAAATGCATCTTAGTTTAAAAATAAATAAACGAACCACAACGGATCAATTCAGGTCAGTTTTTACCAAGAAGAGCTTCAGAAGTCAGCTGCAGCTTGGTGTAACCACAGAGCTCACGTGAGGCAGGACGCAAGAGCCATCACGTCAGTCGTGTCACACATCCAACATTCAGGCTGAGGACCTTCCCAGCTGTCTGCGTGCCACCTCCCAGCAGCAGGGACCTGGAGCAGAGCACGGCTCCTCGGCTTGCAGGGAAAGGCAGCTCATTGCACCCCCCCAGACACCGGTGACCACTGGTAACAGATGCAAGCACTGCCCACACCTGTTTCTCAGTAGAGACGAGCTGCCAAAGCAATCAAGCGAGCCGAGCCCTTCAGCTGCAGCTGCACAGAGCTCTCCTGGCCGTGCCACAGCACTGCTTTCCCCAGCGGCTCTGCAGCACCAGCAGGAATCGCTCTGCAACACAGCTCTGCAAGCAGATGCCTGCAGCGGAAGCAGCTCCGGCGCACAGCCTCTTTGCTCATTTTACTGCAGTTTCTTGAAATCAAACAAGAACAGCTAAATTCATTCTCTCTGAGCTCTGGCAGGGTACTGGCTAACCCAATCTTTTCATTTCAGTCTGCCATTTCCAGCAGTAGAAACACTGTT